GAGACCGTTGCGCCAGTCGCCCGTAAGCCCGTTGCTCCAGTCGCCCGTGAGTCCGTTGCTCATCTGCCGCTACTTTTAGCCGCGGAGCCAGTTACTCCAGTAGCCCGTGTGCCAGTTGCTCCAGTTGCCAGTGTGCCAGTTGCTCCAGTTGCCCGTGTGCCAGTTGCTCCAGTTGCGCCGTGTGCCAGCAGCTTCAGCTGCCGCCCACTACCTCCTCTCCTCTCATAGTCTCTTTCCTCCTCCTCACTTGCCCGTTGTGACTACCACTAGCTTTGCTCATAATTGTGAACTTTAAACTATTGCTTCTTGAACTTGTGCTCAGAATGTGTGGTGACATTGTGATCCACCCTGAGCTTGTACTGCTTTGCTTGCTCTGCTGATTACACCCCACTTTGGCTATGGGGGTGTGTCAGAATATTATGCTCTAGCCTGTAGTGGGGTGCTCTATAGCGAGTACAACCCTTCTAGGGTTTGCTATTTGTATCCTCATTCTTGCTAGTGCAACGCTCTCTCTTCTTCCTTTTAAATTTTCACAAATCACCCGGGGCTATTTCGCACCGTCCCGCTTTTCATACCCCCAGCACCATTCAGAAAGGTTTTCAGCTCGAAAGGCACACAAACGTGCGACCGACCCTCTTTGAAATGGGCCCTCGGGGGCGTTTAGAGCCATTTTCTCTCGAAAACGCGAAACGATCCGCACAGGTGTAGAAAAGTGCGAATCACTTGGGGTTTTTTCGCACCGTCCCGCTTGTCATACCTCCAGCACCATTCAGAACGGTTTTCAGTTCCAAGCGCACACAAACGTGCGACCGACCCCCTTTGAAGCGGGCCCCTCCGGGGCGTTTTGAGCCATTTTCTCTCGAAAACGCGAAACGATCCGCACAGTTGTAGAAAATTGCGAATCACCCGGGGTTTTTTCGCACCGTCCCGCTTGTCATACCCCCATGCACCATTTAGGATGGTTTTCTGCTCCATAAGCACACAAACGTGCAACCGACTCCCTTTGAAGCGGGCCCCTCCGGAGTGTTTAGAGCCATTTTCTCTCGAAAACGCGAAACGATCTGCACAGGTGTAGAAAATGCGAATCACCCGGGGTTTTTTCGCACTGTCCCGCTTGTCATACCCCCACGCACCATTCATTATGGTTTTCAGCTCCAAAGGCACACAAACGTGCGACCGGCCCCCTTTAAAGCGGGCCCCTCCGGGGCGATTAGAGCCATTTTCTCTCGAAAACGCGAAACGATCTGCACAGGTGTAGAAAAATGCGAATCACCCGGGGTTTTTTCGCACCGTCCCGCTTGTCATTTCCCCACGCACCATTCAGGATGGTTTTCAGCTCCAAACGCACACAAACGTGCGACCGACCCCTTTTGAAGCGGGCCCCTCCGGGACGTTTACAGCCATTTTCTCTCGAAAACGCGAAACGATCCGCACAGGTGTAGAAAAATGCGAATCACCCAGGGTTTTTGCGCACCGTCCCGCTTGTTATTCAGGTAGGTTTTCAGCTCCAAACGCACAAAAACGTGCGACCGACCCCCTTTGAAGAGGGCCCCTCCGGGGCGTTTAGAGCCATTTTCTCTCGAAAACGCGAAACGATCCGCACAGGAGTAGAAAAATGCGAATCACCCGGGGTTTTTTCGCACCGTCCCGCTTGTCATAACTCCACGCACTATTCCGTATGGTTTTCAGCTCCAAACGCACACAAACGTGCGACCGACCCCCTTTGAAGCGGGCCCCTCCTGTGCGTTTAGAGCCATTTTCTCTCGAAAACGCGAAACGATCTGCACAGGTGTAGAAAAATGCGAATCACCCGGGGTTTTTTCGCACAGTCCCGCTTGTTATACCCCCACGCACCATTCAGAAAGGTTTTCAGCTCCAAAGGCACACAAACGTGCGACCGACCCCCTTTGAAGCGGGCCCCTCCGGGACGTTTAGAGCCATTTTCTCTCGAAAACGCGAAACGATCCGTACAGGTGTAGAAAAATGCAAATCACCCGGGGTTTTTTCGCACCGTCCCGCTTGTCATACCCCCACGCACCATTCAGGATGGTTTTCAGCTCCAAACGCACACAAACGTGCGACCAACCCCTTTTGAGTGACCAAAACAGTACTGGCTGCTGCTCCTGCTGCTATGGCCAGCCCTAACGTCCTCACCTTCGATGCTAAGGGTCGGGCGGTCGATTTTGAGGTCTGGGTCGATGATCTGCAGCTGTTCCTGCAGTGCGATAGCAAGGATGGAGTTTCCCTCTTTTACCTCACTTCTGGCGCCTCTGCTGCACCTGCTGCTGACGCTGCCAGTACTGTTCGATCACAGTGGACCACGCGCGATGCTGCTGCCCGTCTTGCTGTCCGTAGTCACCTGCCGTCTGCTGAGCGCGCGCACTTTAGCCAGTACAAGACTGCTAGCACTCTGTACGCTGCTGTTGTTGCGCGCTACTCCTCCCCTGCCACTGCTGCCCTTAGCCGCCTCATGCTGCCGTACTTGTTCCCTGACCTAGCCGCTTTTGCCACAGTCGCTGACCTCATTACTCACCTCCGCACTAGTGACACCCGCTACCGCGCTGCGCTCCCTGCCGAGTTCTGCGCCAAGAACCCCCCCCTATGTACATCACTCTCTACGACCTCGTCACCCGGCTCCCTGACTCCCTTTGCTCGGTCAGGGACCACTTCCTCTCCCTTTGCCCCACCACGCTCACTGTTGACCTCCTCGAGGAGCGCCTCCTTGCAGCTGAGAAGAGTATAGTCGCTGTAGGAGCCTCTCATGGTGACCCTCGTGCCCCTTTCTTTGAGGGGTGCTCCCCCGTCCCTCTTTTGCCCTCTGTTGCCTCTGCTGCTGCTGTCAACCTCGTTGGCACCGAGTCGGTCGACGCTGCGTCTGCCCCTAGTGGGAAGCGCCGCTACAGCAAGGGCAAGGGGGGCAAGAGGGGTGGAGGGGATGGCGGGGGCGGCGGTGGGCAGCGGGGAGGCTCTAGCAGTGGCCAGCGCCAGCAGCAGCAGCGCTCCCGTGAGACCCCGTCGCCTCAGCAGCTTCGTGAGTGGTACGCTGGGCGTGGGAGGTCTGGGGGTGCTGGTCCCTGCACCTACGTTCTTCGCACCGGCGACTGCAGTGGAGAGACGTGCGGCGGCCCGCACACCACCCCACGCTGCTTCGGCCGCCTGACTGACGCTTGGCATACACAGTTCCCTGGCTCCAGTGAGATCCCTCGCTGGGATATTCTGCTTAAGTCGGGGGTTGCTATCTTTGATCTTGACTATGATGCTATCCTTGCTGCTATGTATGCTGTGTCTATTAGTGCTGAGGGTGACTGTTACCTGTGTGTTCCGCCTGACCCGGGCATTGAGGCTGCTTCTCTAGGTGCTGGTGAGGCTGCTCTCTCAGGTACCGCGTCGGCTCAGGTCTTGCACACTATCACCCTTGACTCGGGTGCTTCCCGTTCCTTCTTTCGCGACTGCACCACACTCTTGCCGCTCAGTCGGCCGGTGGCAGTCTCTCTGGCTGACCCCTCAGGGGGACCAGTTGTGGCCCGTTCCTCCACTGTCCTCCCGTATCCTGCGGCTCCGTCCGGCTCACTGTCTGGTCTTCACCTCCCCTCGTTCTCTACGAACTTGGTGGCGGGTGCTGATCTTCAGGATGGGGGTGTTCACCAGTTCACCCCTGCCTACCAGCGTGTGACGCACTGCACGTGTGCTCGGACGGGCCGTCACCTGGCCACGTTCACCCGTCGGCCAGGGTCCAGCCTGTACACCCTTACCACTGAGTCTCCTCCTGGTCAGGTAGCCGCGTCGGGTCAGGTGTTTGCTGCAGCGTCCCGGTCTGGCCCTGAGTCTGCCCCCTGCTCGTGTCGCCTCCTGTCTCATGAGACTCTCCTTTGGCACCACCACCTTGGTCACCCCTCCCTGCCTCGTCTTCGAGGCATGGCCTCCCGTGTCCTGGGTCCCTCCCACCCCTTCCTCTGGGGCCTGCCCCTACCTGCGTTCCCTGCGTCGAGGGCCGGCAGCGCGCCGCTCCTCACTCCTCCGAGTTTCCCCCGACAGAGGCTCCCCTGCAGACTCTTTACATGGACGTGTGGGGCCCAGCCCGCGTCCGTGGACAGGGTCACGAGCGTTACTTCCTGCTGGTTGTTGATGACTACTCGCATTACACCACGGTCTTCCCCTTGCGCCGCAAGGGTGAGGTCACTGAGGTGTTGATCGACTGGATCCGCGCTGCTCGTCTCTAGCTCAGAGAGAGTTTCGGCTCGGACTTTCCTGTTCTGCGTCTGCACTCCGACAGAGGTGGAGAGTTTTCCTCCGACCTTCTGCGAGCTTTCTGTCAGGCGGAGGGCATCCGCCAGACGTTCACGCTTCCGGCCTCTCCACAGCAAAATGGGATTGCTGAGCGCCGCATTGGCATGGTCATGGATGTCGCTCGTACGTCCACGATCCATGCGGCTGCTCCCCATTTTCTGTGGCCGTTCGCGGTTCAGTACGCGGCGCATCAGATCAACCTCCAGCCCCGGGTCTCCATGCCGGAGACCACCCCCACTCTGCGGTGGACGGGGAAGGTTGGCGATGCGTCTGCGTTCCGTGTCTGGAGATCTCGAGCTTTCGTCCGCGACTTGTCTGCGGACAAGCTGTCCTCCCGTGCCGTTCCCTGCATCTTCCTTGGCTTCCCCCCTGACGCGCCTGGGTGGCAGTTTTACCACCCCACCTCGCGCCGTGATCTGTCCTCTCAGGATGTCACGTTTGACGAGTCGGTTCCTTACTACCGTCTCTTCCCCTACCGCACTGCCCCCCTCACCCCCTCGACGCTCTTCCTCGCGCCAGGTCCTCCTCCGGTAGACCCCCTCCCCACTCAGGGTCCTGCCCCCTCAGGTGTGTCTCAGGTAGACGCAGTCGAGCCTGTTGAGGTAGCTGTCGACTCTGGTGCTGCTAGGGGTGCTGAGCGTGCGGGTGCCGGGTCTGGGGGTGCTGAGCCTGGAGGTGCTGAGCCTGGGGTTTCTGAGTCTGGGGGTGCTGAGCCTGGGGGTGCTGAGCCTGGGGTTGCTGAGTCTGGGGGTGCTGAGCCTGGAGGTCCTCCGAGTGTCCCGTCGCGGCAGGAGCCCCTCTCTCCACGGCAGCTTCATGAGTGGTACGCTCGACGCTGTAGCAGTGCTGCTGGAGCTGGGGGGCCTACTGCTGGAGGAGCTGGTGGTGGTGCTGCTAGAGGTGCTGCTGGTGCTGGAGCTGCTGGAGGTGCTGCTGGTGCTGGAGTTGCTGGAGGTGCTGCTGGTGCTGGAGCTGCTGGTGGTGCTTCTGGAGGTGCTGCTGGTGCTGGGGCTGCTGGAGGTGCTGCTGGTGCTGGAGCTGCTGGTGGTGCTGCTGGAGGTGCTGCTGGTGCTGGAGCTGCTGGAGGTGCTGCTGGTGCTGGAGCTGCTGGTGGTGCTGCTAGAGGTGCTGCTGGTGCTGGAGCTGCTGGAGGTGCTGCTGGTGCTGGAGCTGCTGGAGCCGCTGGTCCTGGAGGTGCTCGTACTGGAGGTACTGGCGCTGCTGCGGGAGTTGGAGCTGGAGGTGCTGGAGCTGTTGGAGCTGGTGGTGCTGCGGGAGTTTGAGCTGGAGACCCTGGAGTTGAGGGTACTGGTGCTGTCTCTGCTGGTTCTGGAGGCGCTGCGCGGCCGCGGCCGTACTACGTTCCGCTCCTTCAGCAGGTTATTGGCCTCCCGCCCTCTGCTGGTCCTACCCCTCCCCTACTGGGTCCACCGCCTGTCCAGTCGCAGTCACAATTACAGCCAGCCTCTCCACTGCCTGGTCCTTCTCCTTACGCTGGCCCGAATAGGGGTCTTACGGAGCGTCGTGAGCCTGAGTCTCGTCCTGCGTCGCCTGAGTCTCGTCCAGAGTCGCCTGTCCGCGCTGTCCGCACTGGTCGTCGTGTTCCACGTGAGCGTCCTCCTCCTATCCCTGGCACTCACTATATGACTCTGCGTCCTTCCACTGCTCCACAGCGTGTCCCTCTGCCGTCTCCTCCTGCGTCCTCTCTTCCTGACGGTCCGGACCCGGAGTCTGACTCCCTTCGTGCTGCCAGTCCTACTGTCACACGTTTCCTCGCTACTGTTGTCACTAACCCTTCCTTTGAGTCCACTGCTGCGTCTGCTCTAGTGGCTGAGCTTGTTGACTTTGCTGCCGCCTGTCGTCTAGACTACGCCGCTAGCCTTGTTGCTGAGTCTGAGTCTGTCTGTCCTCCGTCCGTCGGGGGTGAGTGTGCTCTTGGCACAGACGTTCTTGAAGACAGACAGGAGGAGTTTGAGTGCTTTGCCGCTGCTTTACCTCATCTCGTGTCCATGCTGATTGCCCCTGAGGGAGACCCGGATGCACCAGACATCCCGACCCCGTGCTCTTACGCAGAGGCGATAGAGGGTCCCTACTCCTCTCAGTGGCAGTCAGCCATGGACGCAGAGATGGCTTCCTGGAAGTCCACAGGCACCTACGTCGACGAGGTTCCCCCACCTGGGGCGAACATCGTCAGTGGCATGTGGATTTTCAGGGTGAAGCGGCCGCCGGGTTCTCCGCCTGCCTTCAAGGTGCGTTACGTTGCACGAGGCTTCAGTCAGCGTGAGGGAGTTGACTTCTTCCAGACCTTCTCCCCTACCCCGAAGATGACCACTCTTCGGGTTCTGCTGCACGTCGCCGCTCAGCGTGACTACGAGCTCCACTCTCTTGACTTCAACACTGCTTTCCTACACGGCAGCCTGCACGAGGAGATCTGGCTGCGCCGCCCACCTGGCTTCACTGGGTCGTTACCTCCTGGTGCCCAGTGGAGCCTCCGGCGGCCAGTCTACGGTCTCCGCCAGGCACCCCGTGAGTGGCACGACACACTGAGGACTACTCTTGCTGCTCGTGGGTTTGCTCCTTCTACTGCTGACCCGTCGCTGTTTCTACGCACCGACACCACTCTGCCGCCGTTCTACGTTCTTGTGTACGTAGACGACTTGGTCTTTGCCACTGCTGACACTGAGGCACTCGCCCACGTGAAGTCAGAGCTGCAGAAGAGACACACGTGCACAGACCTGGGTGAGCTGACAAGCTATCTTGGCTTGCGGATCACCCGGGACAGAGCACAGCGCACCATTACCTTGACTCAGTCACACATGGTGCAGCAGGTCCTTCAGCGCTTCCGCTTCACGTACTCCTCGCCACAGTCCACTCCTCTGCCTACTCGCCACTCGCTCTCAGCTCTGCCTTCGGATGAGTCCGTAGAGCCGAGTGGCCCGTATCCACAGCTTGTAGGCTGCCTCATGTACCTGATGACCTGCATTCGACCTGACCTAGCCTACCCTCTTAGCATCCTAGCACGCTATGTCGCTCCTGGCCGACACAGGAAGGAGCACCTGGATGCTGCTAAGAGGGTGTTGCGCTACTTGTGCAGTACGTCGGGCATGGGGCTAGTGCTTGGAGGGCGACGTCGAGTGGTCCTCACAGGTCACGCAGACGCTTCTTGGGCCGACGACCAGGCTACGCAGCGGTCGTCACAGGGTTACACCTTCAGCCTTGGTTCCTGCTCTGTTTCGTGGCGGTCTACCCGCTCGTCTTCTGTTCTCAGCTCCAGCTGTGAGGCTGAGATCTACGCAGGGGCCATGGCTGCACAGGAGTTGCGCTGGCTCACCTACCTGCTGACCGACCTGGGAGAGTCGCCTCGTTCTCCTCCAGTTCTGTACGTAGACAACAAGGCCATGCTGGCCTTGTGTCAGGAGCACAGACTGGAGCACAGAACGAAGCACATTGCTCTTCGCTACTTCCTTGCACGTGAGCTGCAGCAGCGTGGTCAGTTGCGCCTCGCTTATGTGGCCTCTCCGGCCAACACTGCTGATATCTTTACCAAGGCACTTCAGCCTTATGATCATCAGCGCTTGTGTACTATGTTAGGTCTTGTGCCTACCTGGCCTCACCTGCTTACCTCTTGACTTTGCCTTGTACTGTGATCTATATATACCTGCACCTGCCTGTTTACCTTTGCTAGGTTGTGATCACTGTCTTGCTTGTTCACCTTGATTTTTAATCCTACATGTGAGCTGGCCTTGTGGCCTTTGAACTTCTGCTCGGAATGTGTGGTGACGTTGTGATCCACCCTGAGCTTGCCTTGCTTGAATGGTCTTGTGACCCCTTGTTCTCCCCCCACTTTGCCTATGGGGGTGTGTCAAACATTTATGCTATAGTCTTTCTAGGCTGTAGTGGGGTAGACACTATGGGGTACAGTTTCCTAGGGTTTAATATTTGTACCCAACTCATTTCCTAGTCAATCATTCCTCGTATTATTCTCACAGAGGCAAGCTCCTGGACCAGGCAAGCTCCTGGACCAGGCAAGCTCGTGGACCAGGCACGCTCCTGGACCAGGCACGCTCTTGGACAAGGCACAATCCTGGACCAGGCAAGCTCCTGGACCAGGCAAGCTCCAGGACCAGGCAAGCTTCTGGACCAGGCAAGCTCCTGGTCCAGGGAAGCTCCTGGACCAGGCAAGCTCCTGGACCAGGCAAGCTCCTCGACCAGGCAAGCTCCTGGACCAGGCAAGCTCCTGGACCAGGCGAGCTCCTGGACCATGCGAGCTCCTGGACCAGGCAAGCTCCTGGACCAGGCAGGCTCTTGGACGAGGCTCTTGGACCAGGCAAGCTCCTGGACCAGGCAAGCTCGTGGACCAGGCAAGCTCGTAGACCAGGCACACTCCTAGACCAGACACGCTCCTGGACCAGGCACAATCCTGGACCAGGCAAGCTCCTGGACCAGGCAAGCTCCTGGACAAGGCAAGCTTCTGGACCAGGCAAGTTCCTGGACCAAGCAATCTCCTGGACCAGGTAAGCTCCTGGACCAGGCTGACTCCTCAACCAGGCAAGCTCCTGGACCAGGCAAGCTCCTGGACCAGGCAAGCTCCTGGACCATGCGAGCTCCTGGACCAGGCAAGCTCCTGGACCAGGCAGGCTCTTGGACCAGGCACACTCTTGGACCAGGCAAGCTCATGGAACAGGCAAGCTGCTGGACCATGCGAGCTCCTGGACTAGGCAAGTTCCTGGACCAGGAAAGCTCCTGGACCAGGCAAGCTCCTGGACGAGGCAAGCTCCTGGACGAGGCAAGCTCCTGGACCAGTCAAGCTCGTGAACCAGGCATTCTCCTGGACCAGGCAATCTCCTGGACAAGGCACAATCCTGGACCAGGCAAGCTCCTGGACCAGGCAAGCTCCTGGACCAAGCAAGCTTCTGGACCAGGCAAGCTCCTGGACCAGGCAAGCTCTTGGACCAGGCAAGCTCGTGGACCAGGCACGCTCCTAGACCAAGCACGCTCCTGGACCAGGCACAATCCTGGACCAGGCAAGCTCCTGGACCACGCAAGCTCCTGAAGCAGGCAAGCTTCTGGACCAGGCAAGCTCCTGGACTAGGCAAGCTCCTGCTCCAGGCTGGCTCCTCAACCATGCAAGCTCCTGGACCAGGCAAGCTCCTCGACCAGGCGAGCTCCTGGACCATGCGAGCTCCTGGACCAGGCAAGCTCCTAGACCAGGCAGGCTCTTGGACCAGGCACACTCTTGGACCAGGCAAGCTCCTGGACGAGGCAAGCTCCTGGACCAGGCAAGCTCGTGGACCAGGCACGCTCCTGGACCAGGCACGCTCCTGGACAAGGCACAATCCTGGACCAGGCAAGCTCCTGGACCAGGCAAGCTCCAGGACCAGGCAAGCTCCTGGACCAGGCAAGGTCCTGGTCCAGGCAAGCTCCTATACCAGGCAAGCTCCTCGACCAGGCAAGCTCCTGGACCAGGCAAGCTCCTGGACCAGGCGAGCTCCTAGACCATGCGAGCTCCTGGACCAGGCAGGCTCTTGGACCAGGCACGCTCTTGAACCAGGCAAGATCCTGGACCAGGCAAGCTCGTGGACCAGGCAAGCTCGTGGACCGGGCACGCTCCTATACTAGGCACGCTCCTGGACCAGGCACAATCCTGGACCAGGCAAGCTCCTGGACCAGGCAAGCTCCTGGACCAGGCAAGCTTCTGGACCAGGCAAGCTCCTGGACCAGGCAAGCTCCTGGACAAGGCAAGCTCTTTGACCAGGCAAGCTCCTAGACCAGGCAAGCTCATGGACCAGGCGAGCTCGTGGACCATGCGAGCTCCTGGACCAGGCAAGCTCCTTGACCAGGCAGGCTCTTGGACCAGCCACGCTCTTGGACCAGGCAAGCTCCTGGACCAGGCAAGCTCCTGGACCAGGCAAGCTTCTGTACCAGGCAGGCTCCTGTACCAGGCAAGCTCCTGTACCAGGCAGGCTCTTGGACCAGGCACGCTCTTGGACCAGGCAAGCTCCTGGACCAGGCAAGCTACTGGACCAGGCAAGCTCCTGGACCAGGCAAGCTTCTTGACTAGGCAAGCTCCTGGACCAGGCAAGCTAATGGACCAGGCAAGCTTCTGGACCAGGCAATCTCCTCAACCAGGCAAGCTCCTGGACCGGGCAAGCTCCTGGACCAGGCGAGCTCCTGGACCATGCGAGCTCCTGGACCAGGCAAGCTCTTGGACCAGGAAAGCTCTTGGACCAGGCACGCTCTTGGACCAGGAAAGCTCCTGGACCAAGCAAGCTCCAGGACCAGGCAAGCTCCTGGACCAGGCAAGCTTCTGGACCAAGAAAGCTCCTGGACCAGGCAAGCTCCTGGACCAGGCAAGCTCCTGGACCAAGCAAGCTTCTGGACCAGGCAAGCTCCTGGACCAGGCGAGCTCCTGGACCAGGCAAGCTCCTGGACCAGGCAAGCTCCTGGACCAGGCAAGCTCCTGGATCAAGCAAGCTCCTAGACCAGGCAAGCTCCTTGACCAGGCAAGCTCCTGCACCAGGCAAACTCCTGGACCAGGCAAGCTTCCGGACAAGGCAAGCTCCTGGACCAGGCAAGCTCCTAGACCAGGCAAGCTCCTCGACCAGGCAAGCTCCTGGACCAGGCAAGCTCCTAGACCAGGCAAGCTCCTCGACCAGGCAAGCTCCTCGACCAGGCAAGCTCCTGGACCAGGCAAGCTCCGTGACCAGGCGAGCTCGTCGACCATGCAAGCTCCTGGACCAGGCAGGCTCTTGGACCAGGCACGCTCTTGGACCAGGCAAGGTCCTGGACGAGGCAAACTCCTGGACCAGGCAAGCTCCTGGACCAGGCAAGCTTCTGGACCAGGCAAGCTCTTGGACCAGGCGAGCTCTTGGACCAGGCAAGCTCTTGGACCAGGCAAGCTCCTGGACCATGCAAGCTCCTGGACCAGGCAAGCTCCTAGACCAGGCAAGCTCCTCGACCAGGCAAGCTCCTGGACCAAGCAAGCTCCTGGACCATGCGAGCTTCTGGACCAGGCAAGCTCCTGGACCAGGCAGGCTCTTGGACCAGGCACGCTCTTGGACCAGGCAAGGTCCTGGACCAGGCAAACTCCTGGACCAGGCAAGCTCCTGGACCAGGCAAGCTTCTGGACCAGGCAAGCTCTTCGACCAGGCGAGCTCTTGGACCAGGCAAGCTCTTGGACCAGGCAAGCTCCTGGACCAGGCAAGCTCCTGGACCAGGCAAGCTCCTAGACCAGGCAAGCTCCTCGACCAGGCAAGCTCCTGGACCAAGCAAGCTCCTGGACCATGCGAGCTTCTGGACCAGGCAAGCTCCTGGACCAGGCATGCTCTTGGTCCAGGCACGCTCTTGGACCAGGCAAGCCCCTGGACCAGGCAAGCTCCTGGACCAGGCAAGCTCCTTGACCAGGCAATCTCCTCAACTAGGCAAGCTCCTGGACCAGGCAAGCTTCTGGACCAGGCGAGCTCCTGGACCAGGCAAGCTCCTAGACCAGGCAAGCTCCTCGACCAGGCAAGCTCCTGGACCAAGCAAGCTCCTGGACCATGCGAGCTTCTGGACCAGGCAAGCTCCTGGACCAGGCAGGCTCTTGGACCAGGCACGCTCTTGGACCAGGCAAGGTCCTGGACCAGGCAAACTCCTGGACCAGGCAAGCTCCTGGACCAGGCAAGCTTCTGGACCAGGCAAGCTCTTCGACCAGGCGAGCTCTTGGACCAGGCAAGCTCTTGGACCAGGCAAGCTCTTGGACCAGGCAAGCTCCTGGACCAGGCAAGCTCCTAGACCAGGCAAGCTCCTCGACCAGGCAAGCTCCTAGACCAAGCAAGCTCCTGGACCATGCGAGCTTCTGGACCAGGCAAGCTCCTGGACCAGGCAGGCTCTTGGACCAGGCACGCTCTTGGACCAGGCAAGGTCCTGGACCAGGCAAACTCCTGGACCAGGCAAGCTCCTGGACCAGGCAAGCTTCTGGACCAGGCAAGCTCTTCGACCAGGCGAGCTCTTGGACCAGGCAAGCTCTTGGACCAGGCAAGCTCCTGGACCAGGCAAGCTCCTGGACCAGGCAAGCTCCTAGACCAGGCAAGCTCCTCGACCAGGCAAGCTCCTGGACCAAGCAAGCTCCTGGACCATGCGAGCTTCTGGACCAGGCAAGCTCCTGGACCAGGCATGCTCTTGGTCCAGGCACGCTCTTGGACCAGGCAAGCCCCTGGACCAGGCAAGCTCCTGGACCAGGCAAGCTCCTTGACCAGGCAATCTCCTCAACTAGGCAAGCTCCTGGACCAGGCAAGCTTCTGGACCAGGCGAGCTCCTAGACCATGCGAGCTCCTGGACCAGGCAAGCTCTTGGACCAGGCAGGCTCTTGGACCAGGCACGCTCTTGGACCAGGCAAGCTCCTGGACCGGGCAAGCTCCTGGACCAGGCAAGCTCGTGGACCGGGCACGCTCCTAGACCAGGCATGCTCCTGGACCAGGCACAATCCTGGACCATGCAAGCTCCTGGACCAGGCAAGCTCCTGGACCAGGCAAGCTCCTGGACCAAGCAAGCTCCTCGACCAGGCTGGCTCCTCGACCAGCCAAGCTCGTGGACCACGCGAGCTCCTGGACCAGGCAAGCTCCTGGACCAGGCAAGCTCCTGGACCAGGCAAGCTCCTGGACCAGACAAGCTCCTGGACCAGGCAGGCTCTTGGACCAGGCACACTCTTGGACCAGGCAAGCTCCTAGACCAGACAAGCTCCTGGACAAGGCAAGCTCCTAGACCAGGCAAGCTCCTGGACCAGGCAAGCTCGTGGACTTGGCACGCTCGTGGACCAGGCATGCTCCTGGACAAGGCACAATCCTGGACCAGGCAAGCTCCTGGACCAGGCAAGCTCTTGGACCAGGCAAGCTTCTGGACCAGGCAAGCTCCTGGACCAGGCAAGCTCCTCGACCAGGCAAGCTCCTGGACCAGGCAAGCTCCTAGACCAGGCAAACTCCTGGACCATGCGAGCTCCTGGACCAGGCAAGCTCCTGGACAAGGCAGGCTCTTGGACGAGGCACGCCCTTGGACCAGGCTAGCTCGTGGACCAGGCAAGCTCCTGGACCAGGCAAGCTCGTGGACCAGGCACGCTCCTGGACCAGGCACGCTCCTTGACCAGGCATAAACTGGGACCAGGCAAACTCCTGGACCAGGCAAGCTCCTGGACCAGGCAAGCTTCTGGACTAGGGAAGCTCCTGGACCGACAAGCTCCTAGACCAGGCAACCTCCTTGACCAGGTAAGCTCCTGGACTAGGCGAGCTCCTGGACCAGGCGAGCTCCTAGACCGTGCAAGCTCCTGGACCAGGCAAGCTCCTGGACCAGGCAAGCTCTTGGACCAGGCACGCACTTGGACCAGGCAAGCTCCTGGACCAGGCAAGCGGGAGAATGGGGCGGGGTGATGGAAAGCGGGAGAATGGGGCGGGGTGATGGAAGGAGGGAGAATGGGGCGGGGTGATGGAAGGAGGGAGAATGGAGCGAGGTGATGGAAAGCGGGAGAATGGGGCAGGGTGATGGAAGGAGGGAGAATGGGGCGGGGTGATGGAAGGCGGGAGAATGGGGCGGGGTGATGGAAAGCGGGTGAATGGGGTGGGGTGATGGAAAGCGGGAGAATGGGGCGGGGTGATGGAAAGCGGGAGAATGGGGGGGGTGATGGAAAGCGGGAGAATGGGGCGGGGTGATGGAATGCGGGAGAATGGGGCGGGGTGATGGAAAGCGGGAGAATGGGGCGGGGTGATGAAAAGCGGGAGAATGGGGCGGGGTGATGAAAAGCGGGAGAATGGGGCGGGGTGATGGAAAGCGGGAGAATGGGGCGGGGTGATGAAAAGCGGGAGAATGGGGCGGGGTGATGGAAAGCGGGAGAATGGGGTGGGGTGATGGAAGGAGGGAGAATGGGGCGGGATGATGGAAGGAGGGAGAATGGAGCAGGGTGATGGAAAGCGGGAGGATGGGGCGGGGTGATGAAAGGAGGGAGAAAGGGGCGGGGTGATGGAAAGCGGGAGAATGGGGCGGGGTGATGGAAAGCGGGAGAATGGGGCGGAGTGATGGAAAGCGGGAGAATGGGGCAGGGTGATGGAAGCTGAAGGCCGAGCGGGGCGAGCTGAGGAAGGAGATCGAGGAGAAGAAAACGGTGTTTGCTCAGCTGTCGCAACAGCATGCAGCTCTGGAGCGGAAGGGGAAGGCGGTGAAAGCGGAAGAGGAGAAGGTGCGGGAGATGTTGGCAGCGGTGGAGAAGGGTCGGAAGGAGCTGGAGCAGGAGAAGGAAGGGTGGAAGGAGCAGCACCAGCAGATGCTGAGCGCCGTGCGGGCAGAGCGAGAAGGCGTGGAGGAGGAGAGGAAGCGGGTGGTAGCAGAGGCGCGGGAAGAGAGGGTGAGGCTGGGAGAGGAGGCGGATGAGGTGGTGCGGGCGAGGAAGGAAGCGGACGAGGGCAGACAGCAGGTGGAGAGGGAGATGGAGGAACTGGCTTTCCAGAGAGCTGCGTTACAGTCAGAGGAGATTGAGCTTGGCAGCAGACTCGAGGACGTGAGCGCCCGGGAATCAGCTCTTGAAGCGGCGGCTGAGCAGCTGAAGGGGAGAGAGGCGGCTGTAGCGGCACGGATGGGTGAAGTAGAGGTGGCCCTGGCGGCTGTAGCGGCGAGGGAGGAGGAGGTGGTTCGGGCGCGGGAGGGGCTTGTGCGGGAGAGGGAGAGGAGCGGGAGAATGGGTAGGGGTGATGGAAAGCGGGAGAATGGAGCGGGGTGATGAAAAGCGGCAGAATGGGGCGGGGTGATGGAAAGCGGGAGAATGGGGTGGGGTGATTGAAGGAGGAAGAATGGGGAGGGGTGATGGAAGGAGGGAGAATGGAGCGGAGTGATAGAAAGCGGGAGGATGGGGCGGGGTGATGACAGGAGGGAGAAAGTGGCGGGGTGAAGGAAAGCGGGAGAATGGGGCGGAGTGATGGAAAGTGGGAGAATTGGGCGGGGTGATGGAAAGCGGGAGAATGGGGCGGGGTGATGGAAAGTGGGAGAATGGGGCGGGGTGATGGAAAGCGGGAGAATGGGGCAGGGTGATGGAAAGCGGGAGAATGGGGTAGGGTGATGGAAAGCGGGAGAATGGGGCGGGGTCATGGTAAGCAGGAGAATGAAGCGGGATGATGGAAGGCGGGAGAATGGGGCGGGGTGATGGAAAGCGGGAGAATGGGGCGGAGTGATGGAAAGTGGGAGAATTGGGCGGGGTGATGGAAAGCGGGAGAATGGGGCGGGGTGATGGAAAGTGGGAGAATGGGTTTGGGTGATGGAAAGCGGGAGAATGGGGCAGGGTGATGGAAAGCGGGAGAATGGGGTAGGGTGATGGAAAGCGGGAGAATGGGGCGGGGTGATGGAATGTGGAAGAATGTGGCGTGGTGATGGAATGCGGGAAAATGGGACGGGGTGATGGAAAGCGGGAGAATGGAGCGGGGTGATGGAAAGGGGGAGAATGGGGCGGGGTGATGGAATGCGGGAGAATGGGTCGGGGTGACGGAAAGCGGGAGAATGGGGCGGGGTGATGGAAGGAGGGAGAATGGGGCGGGGTGATGGAAAAAGGGAGAATGGGGCGGGGTGATGGAAGGAGGGAGAATGGGGCGGGGTGATGGAAAGCAGCAGAATGGGGCGGGGTGATGGAAAGCGGGAGAATGGGGTGGGGTGATGGAAAGCGGGAGAATGGGGCGGGTGATGGAAAGCGGAAGAATGGGGCGGGGTGATGGAAGGCGGGAGAATGGGGCGGGGTGATGGAAGGAGGGAGAATGGGGCAAACTGATGGAAAGCGGGAGAATGGGGTGGGGTGATGGAAAGCGGGAGAATGGGGCGAGGTGATGGGAGGCGGGAGAATGGGGCGGGGTGATGGAAAGCGGGAGAATGGGGCGGGGTGATGGAAATCGGTAGAATGGGGCGGGGTGATGGAAAGAGGGAGAATGGGGCGGGGTGATGGAAGGAGGGAGAATGGGGCGTGGTGATGGAAAGCAGGAGAATGGGGTGGGGTGATGGAAAGCGGGAGAATGGGGCGGGGTGATGGAAGCGGGAGAATGGGGCGGGGTGATGGAAAGCGGGAGAATGGGGCGGGGTGATGGAAAGCGAGAGAATGGGGCGGGGTGATGGAAAGCTCGAGAATGGGGCGGGGTGATGGAAAGCGAGAGAATAGGGCGGGGTGATGGAAAGCGAGAGAATGGGGTGGGGTGATGGATAGCGGGAGAATGGGGCGGGGTGATGGAAAGCGGGAGAATGGGGCGGGGTGATGGAAAGCGGGAGAATGGGGCGGGGTGATGGAAGAAGGGTGAACGGGGCGGGGTGAAGGAAGGAGGCAGAACGGGGCGGTTGATGGAGAGCGGGAGAATGGGGCGGGTGATGGAAAGCGGAAGAATGGGGCGGGGTGATGGAAGGCGGAAGAATGGGGCCGGGTTATGGAAGGAGGGAGAATGGGGCGGGGTGATAGAAAGCAGGAGAATGGGGCGGGTGATGGAAAGCGGAAGAATGGGGCGGGGTGATGGAAGGCGGGAGAATGGGCCGGGGTGATGGAAGGAGGGAGAATGGGGCGGGGTGATGGAAAGCGGGAGAATGGGGCGGGGTGATGGAAAGCGGGAGAATGGGGCGGGGTGATGGCAAGCGGGAGAAGGGGGCGGGGTGATGGAAAGCGGGAGAATGGGGCGGGGTGATGGAAAGCGGGAGAATGGGGCGGGGTGATGGAAAGCGGGAGAATGGGGCGGGGTGATGGAAAGCGGGAGAATGGGGCGGGGTGATGGAAAGCGGGAGAATGGGGCAGGATGATGGAAAGCGGGAGAATGGGGCGGGGTGATGGAAAGCGGGAGAATGGGGCAGGGTGATGGAAAGCGGGAGAATGGGGCGGGGTGATGGAAGAAGGGTGAACGGGGCGGGGTGAAGGAAGGAGGGAGCACGGGGCGGGTGATGGAGAGCGGGAGAATGGGGCGGGTGATGGAAAGCGGAAGAATGGGGCGGGGTGATGGAAGGCGGGAGAATGGGGCGGGGTGATGGAAGGAGGGAGAATGGGGCGGGGTGATGGAAAGCGGGAGAATGGGGCGGGGTGATGGAAAGCGGGAAAATGGGGCGGGGTGATGGAAAGCGGGAGAATGGGGAGGGGTGATGGAAAGCGGGAGAATGGGGCGGGGTGATGGAAAGCGGGAGAATGGGGCGGGGTGATGGAAAGCGGGAGAATGGGGCGGGGTGATGGAAAGCGGGAGAATGGGGCGGGGTGATGGAAAGCGGGAGAATGGGGCGGGGTGATGGAAAGCGGGAGAATGGGGCGGGGTGATGGAAAGCGGGAGAATGGGGCGGGGTGATGGAAAGCGGGAGAATGGGGCGGGGTGATGGAAAGCGGGAGAATGGGGCGGGGTGATGGAAAGCGGGAGAATGGGGCGGGGTGATGGAAAGCGGGAGAATGGGGCAGGGTGATGGAAATCGGGAGAATGGGGCGGGGTGATAGAAAGCGGGAGAATGGGGCGGGGTGATGGAAGGAGGAAGAATGGGGCGGGGTGATGGAAGGAGGGGGAATGGGGCGGGCTGATGGAAAGCGGGAAAATGGGGCAGGGTGATGGAAAGCGGGAGAATGGGGCGGGGTGATGGAAGGAGGGAGAATGGGGCGGGGTGATGGAAAGCGGGAGAATGGGGCTCCATTGCATTCCACGTGGTTTGCACGATTCGAGCGCCCGAACTCTCCTGGGTACGCCCATCATAGGTGCGCATACTGACCCGACTGCCCAGCGCGTCACTTTGATTGGTCCACTGCATTGGATGCCTCTTTTTTTTTGCTAGTCCTCTAGATTAGACTATTTTCCACAAGCAAAACAAGTGGCTCCATTTCATTCCACGTGGTTTGCACGATTCGAGCGCCCGAACTCTCCTGGGTACGCCCATTATAGGTGCGCATACTGACCAGACTGCCCAGCGCATCACTTTGATTGGTCCACTGCATTGGATGCCTTTTTTTTTTGCTATTCTTCTAAATTATACTATTTTCAACAACCACAACAAGTGGCTCCATTTCATTTCACGTGGTTTGCACGATTCGAGCGCCTGAACTCTCCCGGGTATACCCATCATGGGTGCGCAAACTAACCAGACAGCCCAGCGCATCACTTTGTTTGGTCCACTGCATTGGATGCCTCTTTTTTTTTTACTATTCCTCAGAATTATACTATTTTCCACAACCACAACAAGTTTGTCCATTTCATTCCACGTGGTTTGCACGATTCGAGCGCCCAAAGTCTCCCGGGTACGCTCATCATAGGTGAGCATACTGACCAGACTGCCCAGCGCATCACTTTGATTGGTCCACTGCATTGGATGCCAATTTTGTTTTGCTAGTCCTCTAGCTTAGACTATTTTCTACAACCAAAACAAATGGCTCCATTTCATTCGACGTGGTTTGCACGATTCGAGCGCCCGAACTCTCCAGGGTACGCCCATTATAGGTGCGCATGCAGACCAGACTGCCCAGCGCATCAGTTTGATTGGTCCACTGCATTGGATGCCTCTTCTTTTTGGCTAGTCCTCTAGGATATACTATTTCTCACAGCCACAACAAGTGGCTCCATTTCATTCCACGTGGTTTGCACGATTTGAGTGCCCGAACTCTCCCGGGTACGCCCATCATAGGTGCGCATACTGACCAGACTGCCCAGCGCATCAGTTTGATTGGTCCACTGCATTGGATGCATCTCTTGGTTTGCTAGTCCTCTAGGTTAGACAATTTTCCACAACCACAACAAGTGGCTCCATTTCATTCCACGCGGTTTGCACGATTTGAGCGCCCGGACTCTCCCGGGTACGCCCATCATAGGTGCACATACTGACCCGACTGCCCAGCGCATCAGTTTGATTGGTCCACTGCATTAAATGCGTCTATTTCTTTGCAATTCCTCTAGATTAGACTATTTTCCACAACCACAACAAGTGGCTCCATTTCATTCCACGTGGTTTGCACGATTTGAGCACCCACCTCTCCCGGGTACGCCCATCATAGGTGCGCATACTGACCCAACTGCTTAGCGCATCAGTTTGATTGGTCCACTGCATTGGATGCCTCTTTTTTAGGCTAGTCCTATAGGTTAGACTATTTTGCACAACCACAAGAAATGGCTCCATTTCATTCCACGTGGTTTGCACGATTTGAGCGCCCGAACTCTCCCGGGTACGCCTTCTCCCGCTTTCCATCACCCCGCCCCATTCTCCCTCCTTCCATTAGCCCGCCCCATTCTCCCGCTTTCCATCACCCCGCCCCATTCTCCCGCTTTCCATCACCCCGCCCCATTCTCCCGCTTTCCATCACCCCGCCCCATTCTCCCGCTTTCCATCACCCCGCCCCATTCTCCCGCTTTCCATCACCCCGCCCCATTCTCCCGCTTTCCATCACCCCGCCCCATTCTCCCTCCTTCCATCACCCCGCCCCATTCTCCCGCCTTCCATCACCCCGCCTCATTCTCCCGCTTTCCATCACCCCGCCCCATTCTCCCGCTTTCCATCACCCTGCCCCATTCTCCCGCTTTCCATCACCCGCCCCATTCTCCCTCCTTCCATCACCCCGCCCCATTCTCCCTTCTTCCATCACCCCGCCCCATTCTCCCGCTTTCCATCACCCTGCCCCATGCTCCCGCTTTCCATCACCCTGCCCCATGCTCCCGCTTTCCATCACCCTGCCCCATTCTCCCGCTTTTCATCATCCCGCCCTATTCTCTCGCTTTCCATCACCCCGCCCCATTCTCCCGCTTTCCATCACCCCGCCCCATTCTCCCGCTTTCCATCACCCCGCCCCATTCTCCCGCTTTCCATCACCCCTCCCCATTCTCCCGCTTTCCATCACCCCGCCCCATTCTCCCGCTTTCCATCACCCTGCCCCATTCTCCCGCTTTCCATCACCCCGCCCCATTCTCCCGCTTTCCATCACCCGCCCCATTCTCCCGCTTTCCATCACCCCGCCCCATTCTCCCGCTTTCCATCACCCCGCCCCATTCTCCCTCCTTCCATCACCCCGCCCCATTCTCCGGCCTTCCATCACCCCGCCTCATTCTCCCGCTTTCCATCACCCCGCCCCATTCTCCCGCTTTCCATCACCCTGCCCCATTCTCCCGCTTTCCATCACCCGCCCCATTCTCCCTCCTTCCATCACCCCGCCCCATTCTCCCTTCTTCCATCACCCCGCCCCATTCTCCCGCTTTCCATCACCCTGCCCCATGCTCCCGCTTTCCATCACCCTGCCCCATGCTCCCGCTTTCCATCACCCTGCCCCATTCTCCCGCTTTCCATCATCCCGCCCTATTCTCTCGCTTTCCATCACCCCGCCCCATTCTCCCGCTTTCCATCACCCCGCCCCATTCTCCCGCCTTCCATCATCCCGCTTCATTCTCCCGCTTACCATGACCCCGCCCCATTCTCCCGCTTTCCATCACCCCGCCCCATTCTCTCGCTTTCCATCACCCCGCCCCATTCTCCCACTTTCCATCACCCCGCCTCATTCTCTCGCTTTCCATCACCCCGCCCCATTCTCCCGCTTTCCATCACCCCGCCCCATTCTCCCGCTTTCCATCACCCGCCCCATTCTCCCGCTTTCCATCACCCAGCCCCATTCTCCCGCTTTCCATCACCCCGCCCCATTCTCCCTCCTTCCATCACCCCGCCCCATTCTCCCGCCTTCCATCACCCCGCCCCATTCTCCCTCCTTCCATCACCCCGCCCCATTCTCCCTCCTTCCATTAGCCCGCCCCATTCTCCCGCTTTCCATCACCCCGCCCCATTCTCCCGCTTTCCATCACCCCGCCCCATTCTCCCCCTTTCCATCACCCCACCCCATTCTCCCGCTTTCCATCACCCGCCCCATTCTCCCGCTTTCCATCACCCTGCCCCATTCTCCCGCTTTCCATCACCCGCCCCATTCTCCCGCTTTCCATCACCCCGCCCCATTCTCCCGCTTTCCATCACCCCGCCCCATTCTCCCTCCTTCCATCACCCCGCCCCATTCTCCCGCCTTCCATCACCCCGCCTCATTCTCCCGCTTTCCATCACCCCGCCCCATTCTCCCGCTTTCCATCACCCTGCCCCATTCTCCCGCTTTCCATCACCCGCCCCATTCTCCCTCCTTCCATCACCCCGCCCCATTCTCCCTTCTTCCATCACCCCGCCCCATTCTCCCGCTTTCCATCACCCTGCCCCATGCTCCCGCTTTCCATCACCCTGCCCCATGCTCCCGCTTTCCATCACCCTGCCCCATTCTCCCGCTTTCCATCATCCCGCCCTATTCTCTCGCTTTCCATCACCCCGCCCCATTCTCCCGCTTTCCATCACCCCGCCTCATTCTCCCTCTTTCCATCACCCCGCCCCATTCTCCCGCTTTCCATCCCCCTGCCCCATTCTCCCGCTTTCCATCGCCCGCCCCATTCTCCCTCCTTCCATCACCCCGCCCCATTCTCCCTTCATCCATCACCCCGCCCCATTCTCCCGCTTTCCATCACCCCGCCCCATTCTCCCGCCTTCCATCATCCCGCTTCATTCTCCTGCTTACCATGACCCGCCCCATTCTCCCGCTTTCCATCACCCCGCCCCATTCTCTCGCTTTCCATCACCCCGCCCCATTCTCCCACTTTCCATCACCCCGCCCCATTCTCCCGCTTTCCATCACCCTGTTATAGTCACAATAGGCTTGAATGTGCCTAAAACGAAGATAGAGAGCACAGACGGATTTCTGCACAGCGGCTTCAAACGTTGATAGCGTTCTGCTCACAGCTGCAAATGACTTGATTCAAATTGGATCTGGAGCGTCTTCACGTCGTCTACAATTAGCAATTTAGATTGCAAGATTTGATAAAGAATTGACGACACAGCGTCGGCTTGAACGAACGGTACTATGGCAGCCACTATAGTCTTAGAACACAAGATAGGAAGAGTTACGAGTTGGGAATGACTCCCAGCTCCTACAAACCCCAAGAGCCGAGGTACAGTGATGTGGAACATTGCCACACTGTCCCCAACCACGAAGGGTCTCGAAACTACCCTTCACTAGGGCCTACACCAAGTGAAATGTTACACTACACAAAGTAATGTAACTATCTTCAATATCTTGAGGTGTACCCTTTTGGCAAGCACTTGAGGCTTGACACCAAGGCTCGGGCTCTTCATCACAAACTCATCCTTGAGTTCTTGATGGGTCTGCTGCACACACCTGCGACACGCCGAACGTTCGACACAGGACAAAATAGAAACCGCGCACGACAAAATAGAAACCGCGCGCGAGACACAAACGACCGCGTAACACGCGTCTAGCGATAACTCGCTATTGACTCGACACACACACTCGACATCATGACTCAACATTCACACACAATTATAAGCATGAAATATATATTATCCCATGCCCTCATACCATTCCATACACACAAACATTCACGCACACGGACAACAAGCAGAGTGCAAACCGTAGGGTTGCACCAACAAACTCCCCCTCGGATTGTTGACCTTAGGATATGTTGCTCTCTCAGTTCAGAGCCATCCCAGCCAGCTTGCAACACTTCCAATGCTGCTGCTCCACCAGCCTCTTGGTCGTCATGTCAGCCGGCTGCCCCGTGGTGTTCACGTAGCGCAACTCAACTTCACCCGCGGTTACCATGCTCCTCGTCCAATGCCACTTCACCCTCATGTGCTTCGTGAGTCCATGCAACACAGGGTTCTTAGCAAGAACAATGGCACCCTGGCTGTCACAGTACAGTGGGGTAGGTCCTTGCTGCTCCTCCCCCAATTCA